GGGAATTGAAGACATGTCAGCAGTAAGATAACGAGTGGAATAATTATTAGTAAGCTAACCAGTCGGCGCACTACCACTCCTGTCTGAAATACTTGCTAGCCTCACATTCGGAGTAGATCGGACCAAAATATACACTGTCTGTGACTTTGGATCTGAATGGCGAACTCGAGCACCATCGTGGAGCGTTCCTTGAAAAACTAAACTTGCGACATCATTGTTTTATGGGTTAATGAAAGATCTAACTATGCTGATTCGTTTAACTGTATTTAAAGCTAGAGATATAAAACCCATCCTGAGCATTATATGGAGTGCGTTAAATCAGCGGTCACCTAAAACCCACTACCATAGGGAAGTATGTCCAATTTGTTGGGAGAACAAATGCTAGTTTTATGTTTAATTTTACAGCTTCAGCGATCTGTGTGATCTGTGACGCCCACTGCTCCAAAATCAATCAAATATATATTACTGGTGGTACATATTTTATTGGTGTAGAATCCTTCTTGGCAGTCTTTGTTTGGGAAAATCTCTCCATGTACATAATTGTAATATGTTCTTACTGACTTTCTGTGCTACTTTTTGCTGGTCCGTTTAATCCCATTTTTGGATGCTGATATCCGTATTTAGTTATATTTTCTGTTTTTGTACCTTTATTGGAGTTTTTGTGTTTTCTACTGAACTGTATTATATTGTTTGATACTTAACTATGGCTACAGCCATATCGGATTTGATACATTGACGGGTAAAACGTGCATCTGGACTAAAAGGCTGCAATCCTTCCAGAATCGGAAACACATTGTGTTATTTTGGACGGAAAACAGTGTAATATTGTTTAGGTAATTATCTGTATTTTTTTGATTGATAATAAGACCGTATCTTACCCATATAATTTGCTTTCTATACGGATTAATCGGGCAAGGTGCGTATCTTAACTTCTAGAACTGTTTTTCCGAAATCGGAATCCACTCTGAAATCCTTCATTCGGTATTATTTCTTGTCATAGTAGTAAAGTCATTTGAACCGAGGGACTAATGATTTATCTATATATTAATTAAATTATGGTCTCACAGGTTATCCCAGATCTTTTATACGAAGAAAGACAACAGGACAGACCAGATGGATTTGACTTTTTTGCTGGCGATTTCCTGGTATCGAATAAATGCCGAAACGTGTGAGAGAAAGAACAACAGTACAGAGACGCCACAACAAGCTGGCAGGTACACATACCTGCCGACCTGTACATAAGACGGCAATCTCCTTCGTACCTCATGGTTGAAAGCTTGAGACTATAATCTCATCTGGACCTGAGACTGAAGACTCATCTGAAGATTGTGCAAATGACGTATGCTTTTGACCGGGACATGAAAATGAGGTCTCTAATTTGTCTAGCATGGGGTCCGAAGCGAGATGGAGGGGGTTGGGTGGGTCTGGCATTAAATCTGGACTTATCGAGTCGGGCACTGTCATCGACGTGCCCTGGGTTTGAATGATCAGTGCTGACGAAATCCACGCGGTCAAGCCGATCAAAATTGAAAGTCGTTCGTGGCATAAATCACACAGAAATGTCCTTTATTAGGTTGTTGTAAAGATTTACTTACCGAATCTGAAAACATGTGAAGAGGTTAATAACTCTCGGGGGAAAACGACCTGGAGATGCTGTATTCGAGTTGACATTTGAGGCATTATTCTCATGTGCAAAGATAGTCGATGGACGTAATCTTATACACCGAACGAAACACTGTTTCGTGGTATGAAAAATTTTTTCGGCAGAGACAATCTCATGTAGTATACAGACTCAGGAGCAGGACAGTGAATTTCTGCTCTTAGTGCTCTGTTTTCACCGCATAGTCCCCAAATAACATCATATATATAGAGAGGCCTACAGGCTGTGGGAAAGACGAATAATACATCTAGTAAGTAAAGTGTCAAGCTCACATTTAGCGAAAGCTGATTTGTCATGTGTTAGTCGGAGAGGTTTTGCCATCAATGGAGGGGAGCGCATTTGTCGATATAGAATCCCTCACGATTAGTCACCGACGGGATCTCCGTGAGAGATTTAGTTAGTTGATTAAATTTATCAAATAAGGAATGAATTAAGATTTCATGCGAACTATACATAACTGTGATTCAGTAAGCATCTGTTTGTGCTTTGAGACACCTTGAATCGAGTATTCGGCAAAGTATCGATTAACTGCAGCCTAAAACCAACCTAGCAATTCATAAAGCTGTTGGAAATCGATACCGAGTATGGCTCTGATGATATCAGCAAGGGTGAACGTTCACAGGTACCGCCGTTGATCACTCATACTGATCGTTGGCTGTCGTGAACCATAGTAAGAATGACAGCGCCGTTCGCGGAGCGTAGTCGAAACATCGTAACTTGAGATTTTATGCTAACAGTCGATCTGACAGAAACTTAGACACCTGTGTTAGTGTGGTAATCGTGCCCATGAAATAGATGACCGACGTGATGTGAAGTTCCGGAGAGTACGTTGGCATATTCTTGTCGGCATGGGAGTTGATATTTTTGTATGAGCAAGTCTTTGATTCGGCATTCACTTTTTTGGCGTGGCTCAGAGGGTTTCACCTTCAGCGAGCTGGAGCTTCTGTCCGGTCTGACCGTGATCGGGTTTGAGAATCGGTGAGTGCTGAGACGATGTGGTTTCGAATTTGAGACGACTATGGATACAAGCGCCCCTATTACTGTTAGTTGTGAGAGCCATTTTGGAAGGCTTTGTTTGTGAGAATCCCTCCATGTATACATTTGTAATATGTCCTTATTGATTCCTTCAGTTCTATATTTTGTTAATCCATTCGATTCCTTCTTGAGATGATAATATTTGTATTTTATTAGCGTTACTATTTTTGTTCCTTTACTGAGTTTTATGTTTCTTTCCGGATTGCATTATGTTGTTTAAGCTGATACTGAGTTATGGCGACAGCCATATTGGATTTATCCTCTGATGGCTGAAGCGCTTACACTGACTGGGAGTGTGCAATTTGGATTGGAAATTGGAGCACTCTTTCAGAGTTGGGGACACTTTGTGTTACAGGAGGGATAGAATATCATTTATTTGAATAACTGAAGGAATAACGCAGGAATATTGTTTAGAACCGTTTATAGTGTCTAGGATTAATGCGTGTTCTTTAGCTCGGTTCATAAATCAGAACATGAACTCGTATTGATGAATACATTTATTTGGGGCACACCACAAAGCGAAGCAGTGAATAAAACGAAGGAAGCGAATGGATAGGCGAAGCGCGCTGGAGAAGGCAAAGAGCCAACTCAATGAAATAGAGCATGACTAAGAATATATAGTCAGATAAGAATAAGACAGACATATGACAAGCGAAATAAGCGTGCACACACATGAATAAAAGCGAGGATTGATTGACAAGGTCAAATTACAAGTGGGACATGTCATGTGAGCTCATACAAACCCGACAATAATAAGAAAGAATGGTGCATATAAATTGTTGCTATACAAATGTTCTGGTTAAATAAATTAATCGAAGGGGCTTAGCCAAGTTAGATGTAAACGAACTGGAATATATGTGGAGGCACTACAATACGTTACTTACCCCATCACTTGTTTTGGATTTAAACTGAGCAGGGCGAGTATCTAAATCACCTGGACAGTTATTCCTAAATCCAAACCTCAGTTTGGATCTTACATGCGTTAGCTAGAGTCGACAACCCTGTTTGGATATGGCGTTGAGGCAACTAAGCAGTTAACCTCACGATAAGTTTGTCTGTTATCATGGCGACCCTAGAAAGAGGTGTGTCCTCGCGCAATAACCCTTACCCCAGGTAAGGATTCCAGGTCGTAGACATACTTTTGCTGCTGGCTCGTGCTGTGGCAGAAGACAAGTGATTTTATAGAGCCACGAACCAGACCTCTGAATAGTGTGTGTCGAAATATGATGACCTTAACCTATTATTTTATGGGAAGTTTTGTTGCTAGTATTATATATATTACCAGATATCAACAAAAGATGGGGATTGTTTGCTATAGCTTCATTGGAAATTGATTTTCTTCAAGAAAGAAGAAATGGGCTCACCTGTGATAGATGTTCTAGTCGAAGGATTATGGTCACGTCTGTAGATGGATTTTCTACCGTAGCAGTTCAATTTGTTTCCAGTAAGTGTAAGTCGAACGCGCTATCCCTCAATCCAATATCAAAATACAATAATTCTGGGAGAAAGCGGTCTATATTATGTTAAAAATGGAAATACAAACCAATACCTGACTTTTGATACACTTTCCAAGTCCCAATTACTCTGATGAGTATCCGAGTTTAAAAAGAATAAGTGATGTTAGATCCAACCGCCACAGTATCAACCCAAATATGGCTGTAGCCATATTAAAGATCAAATTTAAACAACATATATACAGTTCAGAAGCAAACATAAAAACTTCAATATAAGTACAAAATATAGAAATAATAACAATATACAATTGATAAAATCTCAAATTGGAATCAAATAAAATACCAAAATGTCAACAGAAAAAGTCCGTCATGTCATAACAAAAATATATAAACATGGAGGGATTTTCTAAAAAACAAAACATTCAAAAAAGATTCTACAACGTCTGTAAACCATCTAAATTCGCACCTCAGACGTTACCCCAAATCTTCCACCAGAAAGAAAAATACGGGATAGTCTTGATGAAGTTGATGTATTTGTTGGTGATTTCATGATACCAAAGAAATACCGAAACGTGTCAGAGTCAGTACTGAATTGACAAAACAGGATGGCAACCGTCAGAGTCAGCAATGAATTGACAAAACAAGATGGCAACCTCAAAAAGGATAACGGTGCAGTTCCCGTACATATACGAAAGGTACAAATGTTATCGGGTAAAACAAAAGTACGAACAAACAAAAATATAGTGAAACATTCACTGGTACCATTGATTATAATAATGAATACTGCTATTTGACCTACCATGAATTTTACGTAAAAGTGAAATAACTATATACTTTACGATCGACCATGTTTTTTTTGTTATATTTATCCATAAATTATCGATATCAAGATAATGTATGTCGATTAGATCGTTAAAACGATATTTTTCGTTTTCGGCATATTGTTGTTTGTTTGAGTCAATCAGTGTCCTTAACACGTGCATCCGTTCAACCTCTGAATTTGGCCATGGAATCTGTAAGAGAGCGGAATGTTCATGTTGCTATATTATGTGAACAGGCTGAGCGATTCGATGGTAAGTTACTTTTTTGAATGTCTTTTTTTTGCATACAGTGGTTATATGCCTCGTTAGGAGTACGTAAGCTGTGTTACTGGTCCCCTAATAGGCCAAAATAATCATGAATCTGATTTTAACCTGATATAAGTAAGAACTATTTTATGCATCACAGTGCTAAAAGCATTACTTAGTCTGGTTTGGTCTTCCTCCATCTTTTTAGTAGACCAAGTGACTTTCCTACCATATCATGTCTGTGACTAAAAGTGTTTTTAGGAGCATTGCTATCGTACCATTAAGCGACAGGTTGATCGGTAATACGATTAAACGTTGGGAATTACGCCAATATCAGTAAGTCCGATCATGCATCTATGAACTATAACCAGCCTAGATGTTTAGGATAGACTAAGTTCTTAATCACAAATCGACTAGAAGTAATCATTACCCAGCACAGAAATAGAGTACATACGTAATCTTAGTTTGGCTAAATTGAGACGTAACGTAAGTCCATATGGTCGTCGGCTTTGCTCTAGCTATGTTGATAGGCGCAGGCTGCATAGTTTCCAGACGAAAACGCTTATGGTGGTTGACAACACTAAGTAACATGACCAGCGGTCGTAAGAATGGTTCTTGCACCCCTGTATTATTTATATTACTCTCAAAACTCTAATTTCTGTTTATTCCTACTGAAAATCCGTTTATTAGTCATATGGAATTCTAAAATTCGTTCTCGGAATAAACGTTTATGGTTTGAGGACAAAAAGACAGTTTCTAATGGATGACAAAAGTATGGATGGAATTTAAACTAATCCTTATCAATAATTGTTGGCCTTTTGTGCTTACTCTGTCCGACACATCTTGGTCTAATTACATCCTTGATCTTATGTATTTTTCACTTGGATCGTTGGGCGAGTTTTATCGTTGATTCCTGTACCTGAAGGTCAACCAAGTCAGTTGCAACGTAGAACTCCGTACGTATGTTCATAAGTTCAGGTTGCCATACCACATCAGCACGGACGCAAATGTCAAATCAAATCCCATAGTAATAGAGATAGTAGAGGTATTATTGGTAATGAAGAAGACTAGGGTTTGAAGATATTATTCAAGAAGTATAATTCAGTGAGATAAGGTAAGAAAGACTAAGGTAAAAGTGCTGACGAATTCAGAAGATTAGGATTTGAGAGAGCACAACGAATGGATGCACTTGCGCCACTGCAAACGATTTTGAGCCATGTCGTTCAAGGTCAACCAGGCAAACTTTTTTTTTCGTAACTGCTTATCAAATCGCAGTTACATTTAATCAGGCTAAAACGAGATTCAATACCTAACATAATGTGAAAAAACTTTGTCGACTTACGATATGATAGTAGTTTCTTTAACCAAATCAAAATTGTTAATTATAGAAGAGATTACATTGTAATCCTGAAATCGTAGTACAATGACTTGGAAATTTGTGTACATTTATGTGAAGTGATTGTTTGTTAGTGCAGTGTACAACAGGTCCAGTTATAATATTATTCAATAATGGCATCTGATCAACGGAATATTTAGTTTGGACAACCTGATAATCACCATACTAATCGCAGTGACTTTTTTTAGATATGGTTAAAGCTATGATTGAAATAGCTAAGATTAGCGATTCTGAGCCCACAGTCGAGGAACGAAATCTTTTGTCTGTTGCGTTCAAAAACGTCATTGGTGCCCGCCGAAATGCATGGAGAGTGTTCAATACACTTGAAAGCAAAGCGGAATCTAAGGGGCCAAACTATTTAAAGCTCATCAAATTGTTCCAAGAAAATGTGGAAAAGGAGTTGAACGAAATAAGCTCGACCATTTTGGATCTTCTGGACCATGACCTGATACCAAAAGCTACTTCGACAGAATCGAAATCCTTCTTTAATAAAATGTACGTACTGCTTTATTTTCAGCGAACTTTTTTTGTTTAGGAAGGGTGATTACCATCGCTATAGGGCTGAGTTTTCTGTTGGGGATCAGCGAAAAGAAGCAGCCGAGAGCAGCCTTTGTGCTTACAAAGAAGCAACGAAGGATGCTGAAAAACTTGCTGTCACTCATCCCATTCGACTAGGCCTTGCTCTGAACTTTTCAGTGTTTTATTATGAGATTCTTAACAATCCCACCAAAGCATGCGATATTGCAAAAACAGCTTTCGATTCAGCTATTGCTGAACTGGATACACTATCAGAAGAAAGCTATAAGGACTCGACCATAATTATGCAACTATTAAGAGATAATCTCACACTTTGGACCTCAAATAGTGAAGGTAAGCATTCTTTACGTTGTGATTTTTTTCTTTAGGCGAAAAAGATATTGCTGCTTCTCCAAAAGGCGACGAAAAGTGATCTGCAACTATTTCTTTTAGTAAAACTGACTGTTTATTTTTACTCTGTGGATATCTGTAAGAAAAAAGCTTCATTTAACTTTTCCAACTGGTCAGTATTTATATTGTCCGCTAAAATTTTGCAGAGGTTATTCAATATAGAACAACTTGTCTAAATTTTCTACTTTGTTCTAATCTTGGGTCATGCCAGGGTTTTCAAATCTACTTTGAATAACGGCTTTTCGATATGAAATTAAAATCAATAGAAGGTGGAAGTGTTTAGCTATTACACAAAACATTTGAAAATCGGGCAGTCTCGTAAAGTTTCAGATCAGCGTTGCAGTCAAAAATCAAGCAGTGTAATTCACTATGCTTGTCGGAACGAAACAAATGAATTTTCTTTCCGCTGATTGGTTATAAATGCACTGCATCTAATTGAATCACAGTCTTCTGTTACGGTTTAATTATAAGATCCTCCGTTTTGTTTATCCAGTCAAAGATATTTGGTAATGTTCATAATAATGATCAAATGATCCTTCATGTGCTGGGGTTTGCTAAACATACCAGATTGACTAAATCGGCAATGTAGAAGTTAACTTTAAATGAAATGGTTAGATTGACCAAAACATGGCAGAAATTCATGAAGTCACTGACAAGTGGACTGAGTAATGTTGGTAGATGTAGGCTACCTGGTTGGGGTCCGCGAAACGAAAGTCACCAATCGTTAGAGACCTTGAACGGCATGGCTCAAAATCGTTTGCAAGGGTGCAGGTGCATCCACTCTTTGTGTTCTATAAAATTCTAGTCTTCCGAATATCTCATAATCTCTACCTTTCTCCTTCTAAAGTTATACTTCTCGAATCATATCTTCGCTCCCTAATCTTGTCCATTTCTGCTAATACTTCTATTATTGCTATCACTCTTGGATTTGAAATGACAGTTGCGTCTCTCTGCTGATGGGGCATGGCAACCTGAACGGATGTACTTACGTACGAAGTTCTACGTTGCAACTGACTGACTGACAGATGGCTAAATTAAACAAGCACTACACTTCACAATTATTGATGCATGTGTAACTTCATCATCCGGTGACTGTCTAGTCGTCTTAATATTATACAACGTTTTGCATGGTTTAAATCACAATTTAATAACAGCAATAGTTTTCATTCTCGTCAAATTATAAATAAGGCATTAAACATCACGGGTCGGACTCACCAATCTCTTTATATTTGGCTACGGTTAAGATCAAGAACAAAGCACAAACTGAGATCTGTGGGTCCAACATCTATTCCTTTACTGTTGGATCGCATTCGTAATGAGTCCACATTTGGGTACATATAGATAGATATCCTAAGAGTCCGTTGTAACTGACTGAGTCCGTCTCAGAACTTCACTTCATACCCAGCTCCACTATTAACATAAAAGTTAGCGTCTCAATTAAACTTCGCATCAAAAACCAAGTATTAAGACCTAGTGTTAAAATTTTCCAGCGTTAACTACTTGGAAGCGAGACATTCAATAATCTTGGAGTGTTTGTTGTTCTGTGTACATTTACTAATTATGTACTTTCATTCGCATTTCGCGCACGATGCATGTGACCTAGATTAGAATAAAATAACTGCTACAATCTATCTAATACAGCCGAACTTAATCTGCTCCTCATGTTCATTTTCATACTCAACGTTTTTGATCTTCACCTTAAGCATAGATGATATCTTAGCCCGTACTTTTTTCTATGCAAGTGGAGTATTTTCAGATGCCATTAAAAAGTTTGCCTGATTTACTTTAGTGTACCATGTGATGAGATTATTATAGTTCATTCATCTTTTAAAAACATTTCTTACACTTAGTCTTTTGATTTCTTCTCCGACTGATGCGACTTGGCAACTCAAACTCGTGCTCATTCTTGCTAGATTTTACGTTGATTACGACATACTGATTCACTTTTTAGTGATATATATTTTCTCTTGACTGTGTGCGACTTATTGGACGTAAGAAAGACCGCAGAAAAACACCTTCAGGTTCTTCTTATTGATAGCAAAGCTACGAATGTATATTTCAGGAACAATTAGGAACACTGTTAGGGAACAAGGTAAGTGTTGCTTACCCTGAGGCAGCTCGTAATAATATCCAATCGGCTATGGAAACGGCAGTGATGTCTGCTAGCAATATAGATCATAGGGTTAGGGTGAAGCAGTGGGTTTCAGTAGCGTCTACCGAAGTGATGGGTGCTCGGGAACCCATCTTCCGGCTCTGAGTACGAGGAGGAGTGGAGTCAGCTTAAGCAGCGGCTGTTAATAAGCATACACAATGATCGCGAACAGTAGTAGTTAGTGAAAGCGAGAACGATGAAAAAGGCAGCGGCAATAGGTAACAGCAGACAACTGTTCCGCCTTATCAAGAAAACCATTATTAGGAATTCATCTGTTAGGTAAGTTATCTCAGAAAAGAATGGGCTTATGATTCATTCTCAATCCAGAAGGTTGGATCGATGGGCAGAACACTAGGGATTAGTTCAGCTGGCCTTCAGCCACACTTCGGTTGCCCACGATCTCCAGTCGTCTTGAATGGCAAATCGAGTTAACTCCTCCCAGTCTTTAAGAAGTTGAGAAAGCTATAGGAAATCTGAAGCGAGGGTGAGCTTCAGAGCCAGACGGACTTACCCCTGAGATTTTTAGGGATGGTGGTCCAGTTTTAACAGTTAGATTAACCAAGATGTTAGGTAGAATCAGAGAACTGGGCGTAATCCCATCTGGCTGATTTCAATCACTGATTGTCCTAGTCTATAAGAAATAACAAAAGTCCTCTTGTGACAATCACAGAGGAATAAGTCTAACTAATACAGTATCTAAAATATTGGCCTCAATAGTACTTGGACTCCGATCTAGAGCGCAAATCCACGGAAGTCACTGACAACTGGACTGCGTCATGTTGGTAGGTATCGACTACCTGGTTGGGGTTTGCGAGACGATAGTAACCGATCTTTAGAGACCTTGAACGGAATGGCTCAAAATCGTTTGCAAAATGGAGCAAGTGCATCCACTCTTTGTGTTCTATCAAATTATAACCTTCCGAATTTCTCATCACCTCTGTCTTTCTCGTTCTAAAGTTATCTCACTTATTATACTTCTCGAATCGTATCTTGAAACCCTTATCTTCTCCATTAATGCTGTTAGTTCCACTATTTCTGTCACTCTTGGATTTGAACTGACAGTTGCGTCTCTGTGATAATGCGGTGTGGCAACTTGAACTTAAGTACATACGACCAAAGTTCTACGTCGTAACTGACTGACTAAGAGCTCATTTTATCTGAGCTAAATAACATTTGGACTTTGACAGATGAGCATGAAATAATTGTATTATACACTTCTTAAATCTCAATTATCAACCAAATTAGTCGTTTTTATTTATGGTAATGAAGACCTACGGATATGAATTAGCCCTGAAAAATATAGTTCCCAGTATAGTTAAGTTGCTGGAAACTCGTATCATAAGCAATAATCGTCAGTTACATGTTACTAGACCGTAAGTGTAGGCAATCCGTGCGTCGAACAGTTGGAAGAAAGGAAAGATGAATATGACATACGTTAGGAGAATTTGACGCTGTTAGTACTATCAAAGATGTTATCATAACGAACTTGAGATATTTTGTGGTTCAGAAAATGACGACTCTATACTAAGTTAAAACAGATCGATCACTAGGTAGTGTCTTATTTGTCTAGTCATTCAATACCGACTAAATTCTGTTGATTGAGTTTCGATGTGACCACTAATTTAAGTAACTCACCAGTAACGTTCATGACTCAGTTGTTAAGTAACTGGAGTTCGAATCCCACGAAGACTATCATTCCTCCTAAGATTACGTGTACACCCTGAGCTTCAGCTAACATGAAATTTAAGTTCAGGATTTCCAGCTGACTATCTTCAACCATCTATCATGTCAAAATTTGAAATTGCTTGTAAGTAAACTAGTGCATTCAGAGTTTTACATTAAGTTTTTATGGAAAACCAGTGGTTGTATGAAAGCTTAAAAACTCTGATGTATGGACATTCTCATTTGCGTTTGACCTTGTATGAACTAAATGAACTGAAACGTTTCAAACCTTTAATTAATAACATTTTCGAATTATCAACTGTACTAAATTAAAATTAATTTTTAATTGAATCACTGAACTCGAGCATTATAATGAGTTCTCATTTTCCTATTTCAAAATGCATTAAATAAATTATCTAAATGATATTTCAATTTTCGAACTAATGGATGACATGAAATTGTTAAGGTACATTTGTTCAACTAGTTTTAGTTGTTGCCATAATATTATTTGATTTGAATCGATTGGAATTTTCACTTGAATAGTAATGTAGAACAACTACTTACCAGAAGCGGACGACAAAGAAAAACGGGAAAAAAGTGAAATTTCACAATACCAGTGATATTTTCAAAAGACAATATAAGTAATTTACCAAGGTGTAATGATACTTGCAAAGTAAAATGAATAAATAATAATAAAATTCAATTCTATTTATGTACATAATTTTACTCAACTTAAATTCACTATGTTGGCGAGTAGCATGTAAGGGTAGGAGTTGCGGAACTCGGGAAGCGACTGCATAGGTATAAGTTTATTTAATTACTTGAGCCTTTTACCGTTAGGAATCTTCAGTGAACCTTATCTTGGGTTTTACTTTTAAGCTGTTCTTAAGTGCAATTCATCCTTGTAAAATCTGCCTCCAAGTCCCCGGCTCAATGTATTCCTTGAATGACCTCTTTTCGGTCATAGCCCAAGTTTCAGATTAACGGAATTTGGGAATCGGAACTAGAAGCAGGTGAAGTAAAGATGTTAACCTGCTACTCATTTACGATGCTTACAAGTTTCAGGCAACTATCAGATGACCACGTAAAGCAGGCATTGTAACTTAATACCAGTCAAATGAATTCAGTAGTAAGTGTAAAGATTTCATAAATGGTTTGATGATATCAATATTTTTGACCTTAGGTGACTAAAACCATGTGGTTTTTTTGAAGAAAAATTCAAGACAATGGTATTTTGTGTTTATCAGCAATGAATTTCAAAGTTTTGACCTCAACTTAAGCAGTCAATAAACAATACCACTGAGTTATTTACCCAAACTAAACAGTACGTTCAAAGGTGATAAGAATTGTGTTGGCTAGGTCAAATCTGTATATTTATAGTTAATGCATTCGAATTTATAAACGAATCTCAGTCCGGGAGCTAGTAGTTTGATTTCTTAATGAGAAGATTCTTTTAAATATTCACTCCAAAAAATTTAATTATCCGATTCAATACTACATAAAAGTAATTTAACTTTAAAGAATAAAAACACTTTATTTATTACTGATTAGAATAAAAAATATTTTGAAAATTCTAGTTGCCGCTAAAAAAGCTTTGTTTTACATATATGTTGTAGATAGTAAA